TCTCTCTCTCTCTCTCTCTCTCTCTCTCTCTCTCACGCGCGCGCTTTTCCTCTTTCACTATGCAGCTCGACGGTAAGAGGATGCGTGAGAGACGCCGCGCCGCCACCGCGTCGTATTTTGAATTAACACGAGGAGTTAATTAACTGTTGATCCACGCGGCTTGTTCCTGAATTCGTAATTCCTATTACGCGGGCGCTTTTATAATTAAAATCAGCTTCAATCGCCGGGGCCCGCCGGCCGTGGCCGGCCGCGCGCGCGTTCACCGAACTCCGTGTAATTTATCGACTCTCTCTCTCTCTCTCTCTCTCTCTCTCTCTCTCTCTCTCTCTCCCTCAATTCGAGGTCGAATTTTCCTCGAGCGAAATATCACGCGGCGATTCGGAACTTGAGGAAATAACACGCGGCACGAAAGATCAATAACTCGAGGTAGGACTTTGACGAAAAATTATTAAAACGTCGCGCGCGTCCCGTGTCGCTCTTGCGATGCAATCGACCGCAGGATAAGATAGGAAACGAAGACTGTTGAAGATGACCTTTTTTGATCGATCAAGTCTCTCGCGAGTCTTACTACATTCTCAACTATGTTCTAGACTCTGGCAAACGGTCGTTGCAGCGTTAGCTACATTCTCGGAAGCGCACAAGAGCCAACGAGTTCTTCGACTGGTGCACACGAAGTGACACGAGTGCTGCTCTACTGCCTAATCTTATCTACGTCGAAGAGTTTCGGACAAACTGCTGTGCCGACAATACATCTGTCGCGTGCGGATACGATCGTTCAGATAAGCATATAGACAGGTTCACGTGCGACACGATGAGCCATTGCGATGCCTTTTACACTCGTGACTTTCTTTCCTCTCGCGATCGTCTCAAGGAAATACGTAACGCACTCACATGTAAGATCCTTCGGCAGCATCGTCAAATATTTTCCAAAAAGCACAACCAGAGAGGAGAAATAAGCGGCTTACTTGAACGTTCTAAGGTGCGACGGAGGGCAGCTTTACAGAATGCTCACCGCTCCTCAAACTCCTCAAACTTGTTTTCTAATGTCATCCATTCTCTAATGTCTCCATAAACTACCACTAACTACCGATTGAATGAAAGTAGAAACACTATCATGCTATTATGTTACAAGTAGGGCTAAAAATCGACAATACAACTCTCGAAGCTAGTGATTGCCGTAGGAAACCAAGGAAATATCAAAGAAGAGATGCTATAGCACATTGGCATTGGATATAGATGATGTAACTTACGATTAACGACGGCGACGCTTTTCCTAGCATGCGCGAAATGCCAATTGTGACACAAAGTCGCCTTTCGCATCTACCTTCTACGAACCACTAATTGCTTGGGTAAGCTGCGACACGAAAAGCACGGACGGATAGAATCAATTAAACGTGCAGCTAAAAGCGACACAGCGCGATATACCACGATTACGAATTGAGCAACATCCAACGGAATCTCAGCGGACGCGTGCTCCATCCCTAATTGCGCGCAATTGCGCCGAGGAACACTCCCGTCCTCGTATCCGGAGCGGATTCCTGTAATCGCGTAGTCGCGATTACATCAGATTCCGGAGCTACGTCATCGAGATCAATGAACAAGCTTGCGGTAGGACGCAGGTCGCCTGTTGCGGCCGGAAAACTCGAAAAGACTCGATGGAAATAGCGGCTTCCTCGTTGCTGTTACGCGGACGATTGCTTCGCAATCGGGATTTCGGCGTTGTTCACCGATCAATTCGCGAACGTGTGACAGCCGCCTACCGTTGGGGGTGGTACACCCTTGTCCGCCTTTCGGCGACGGCTTCGCCCGCCGGGGGTAGCGGCGAGCGGTGCCCTTGGAGTGTGCTGTATACGTAATACTCACGATTCCAGCCTCATCAGTCGCCACGTCGATGCGGTACACATTTTTTTCGCGTCATCCCGCTCTCAGCTTGATCCCCGGGTCGAGGTGCTCCGAGAATCGTAGCCGGTGCGCACTCGTTCGAGAGAGACAGAGAACCGAGACGACGACGACGACGACGACGACGACGACGATGTCGAAGACGACGCGACGGCAGCGGCGGTGGCGGCGGCGACGACGCTGGCGGTGGTAGCCGCGCCGTATGCGATGAGAAAAGATAAATAGTTGAAGACGACGAGTCGCGCGAGCGGAAGCTTATTTACTTTCTGAAAACGAGCAGCCAACAGCGGCGGAGGCGGCAGCGAATGTCAAATGAGAGGGAAAGAGAGACGCGAAGGCCCTGCCGAAAGCAAAGGCGACTCACCTCGTACTCTCCTGCGGGCCGAGCTATTTCCAGCATCGATCCGTTTCCCCGTCGGAGAAGAAACATGCGCGCGGCCAGACCACCCACCGCCCCCGGCGCGGCGCAGCATGAAGCGACGCGGAGCGTCGCGACGGCGACGGTCCGAGAAATCGACTGGGCCCTTTGTCGAGGAGCGCGCGACGATATCGAGAGTCGAGAGTTCGAGAGAGAATCCTTCCAAATCCGTAGCCTGAAGAAGAAGCGGCTAGGCCTCTTTTGAAATTAATTCAATTCCTGCAGGTCCGATTTTTACGAAAAGCTCGGCGCTTTTTCTTAAAACTTTCGTCCATTCGCGAAAGAGATAATTTAATTTGGATTTAATTTCTATATCGATTAATATATAATTAGGTCTTACATGTAACGCAGCGGGGATTGTTCATCGAGAGTGGTCTAATAATAAATGTGGTCTGGGGCCCTTAAGTAGGTCAAAACGCCCCTGCGATTCGATAGCTGAGGATCACCCTGACGCCCATATCGTTGCCTGGTGTAGGCGCCACTTACAATGCATCGTGCTCAGTCGTGATCAAGCTTGATTGACAAACTATCAGAAATGAAGATTACAACAAATTCGACGAAGTGCGCTCACAAAACGTAACGTCGCGTGTTCTCGTGTTGAAAACAATACGATAAATCAAAAGAGGAAGCGCGCGCATAATGGCTCAACGCAACGCGTCGTTTTGCGTGCAATGAAATGTTTCAGTCAGAAGTAAAACTATGAGAGAAGACGATAATGTTAGATACGACATAATCTTATTTGTCAATAGCAAGCGGGAAAAATAGTGTCTATCCCATACATTGTTCAATCGTGCCAGTGAAGAATAAATGTTTGTCCGAAATCCGTCATTCAGTCGTAGTATTCGACAATAAAAGATCTTCTTACCTGAATCGTTGAATCGCACACTCGATTTGAAAAGATCTGGCCTGCTGTCGAGTGGTGTTAATTGAAAATAAGATATTTCGACTAAGCCGCACTGTTTGAAAGTGAACGACTTCGATTTGTTGATAGAATCAGTAGCGACTCATGGCGGAAATTTTGTACTTTACGGCGCCATCTAAAGATATGGATAATAAGCTCATAGCTAGAAACGAGCCAGCTACGGTTCAAGTCTTGATTAAAAACGAAGGAAATTAGTTCCAAAGTTTCCGTTAAGAGGCTCTACTGTTCTAAATGAAAAAACGAGGTCGTAGTAAGCTCAATAGCAGGTCAGTCGGACTTTACTTTGAAATATTTTTCACGACCGTCGTAAATTAGACAATCTTTTATTTTGAAATAGTAAGACTCGTCTGTAGGTCAGAGGATCTTCTATTTTTTTTTTTTCAAATATTATTTATAGCAATATACGAAACAACCTTTTTATTCTTTAATAGCGTGACCAAACGATGAGTGAAATGGACTTTTGTTTCCATTCAGATAACGCAAAATAAAAGTCCTCCTAATCTGACGTTGAATTATACTATTGAAATAGTAATAACAGTGTAGAAATGTAACGCAATAGAAACAATATATTATTTTCTGCAATCGGGACTCTTTTTGACCGTATAGTCGAGATACGGTAATCTTTTGACTCTCGCAATACATGTGTGCGTGTATATACGATGTATATACATTTGTATATTTTTTTCTTTGTGTGTATGTGTGTATTTTCTCTGCTCTCTTTGAAATTGTACGTTTATTTTACACATAAAATTAATATAATTAATAATAATATGAATTAATATAATAACAATAATTATAAGAATAATAATGTACATACTTTCACCGTTGTTGTTTACATAATCATGACGGCAATCGGAATCATACATATATAATGATCATAATTATGACATAATTCAACGTACAGGTTTGCCAAGTGAGGAACCGTTGTCAAAAATTTGATTCGCTGATTTGACACAAATATCTGAGCTGGATAAAAATGTGATTCCGTAGAATCCATTATTACGTAGAGGACCACACGTCAACAACACCCGTCTCTCATGATCACTCGACAAAAGAGCACGAAATATACAGTAACGACGTCAATGATAATAATAATATAATTCGAGTAATAATATAAAAATAACAATAATTCGAGTAACTATCGCGTCCGCAACATTCCTTTCCTCGTTCTCTTTTCTATACAAGTGCACAATTATTTACATACTCAGTATAATGACAAATTCTAAGGTGCCTTTGAGCGCATTTTTTAAGACTTGGATCCTCTGGAAATAATCCAGAATTATTTGGCACATCTCAGTTTTGCGTCTTGTCACATGCGGTCTGATACTTGGCACGATATTGAACCGTCATGCATTGATTGGCTTAGAAGAATCGATTTAAATAGCTAAAAATGGGGATAATGATTTTTTTTTCACCGAAGACATCTCTCTAGCGCGTCCACTTTTACAACTGTTTCACATTGAATTTAGTGTATCTATCTTTTCTCAATCTGGATCGACTAACATTACGACTGATCTAATCACGATACAGTAGCCCACAGTCTCTAGACGAACTGATGACACATCTTTTTGTCCAACTTTACCAGAGCCGTGTAAATTCATTGAAAAACAAAACAGACTCTCGTTCCGTTGATACGCAATTATTGCTAACGCAAGAATACCTGCAAGACACACGTCGCACACTTGCTACGATGCGATTTACCGAACCGTATTTAATTTCCAACGAAAGACCGCGATGGTTTCTCTACTACTTTTATTTTACTTTATCTTTTTTTTTTCTTATTTCATATCGATCCCTATTCGTAGCGATACAGTGACACAGATAAACACATTTTATCCTATTGACGCATCATAGTAATCGCTTCCTGTAAAAAAACACCCGAGAGAAACAATCGTTTTTTTTTTTATTTTTCTTACGCGAATTTTCGAAAGCGTGTATACCGAACCACAGTCGAGTCTAAGTCTATTGCGTTTAACGAATCTACGGGTTAGAAACACGAGAGAGTTTTTGCTCTCTAAACAAACACGAAACTGTCTAGGACGAACGGCAAAACGTTAGCGAGTTTCACCTGTCTTCGAGATCGCAGGCGCTTCCTCTTGCGTTCGAAGAGATATATTATCGTTATACTCGTGGGATCGTCGTTTCGGAATTCTTTTCTCTCTTTCTCTCTCTCTCTCTCTCTTTCTTTTCCTTCTTTTTTTCGTTAACGATATAACAGCTTCCATTTGGTTAGAATAGAAGCAGGATTTGGCAAAAATTTCTAATCAAAAGTCACGTGAAAAAAATATGCGACTTTCTATGATCGTATGCAGTAGTATTTGGTACGTGATCGTACGATATATGATTCGTGTGCGAAATAACGCAAAAGAAAGTAGATTCTACGCGGATCTCCGCAACGTGTCAATGCGTTTACATTCGCTACACTGAGACCTTTTAAAAAATGTCGAGGGTCGAGGTTGCTTCCACTTATCAAAGTTTATCAAAACGTATACATATATGTGCATGATCATAGAAAATTACACAGCATTTTCACGAGTCCCCGGCAATTAGAAATTTTTCACTTTAAGAGACATCAGGAGACATCAGGTACGTTTCCTCGCATAGGATGGGCTAATGTGTAGAAAGAGAGCGAGACACGCTCGATAGAGCTGTGCGCACCGAGAGGATGATACTTCTGAATATTCGCGCATCTATAACAGTGAACCGTTGATCAGTCTGAGGGCATGACCGTAAATATACTTTGGGAACGAACGTTTTTCAGTCGGGACTACTTCGAGACGTTAAAGTATACCGTAACGTAGGCCGAGCTGCAGCGACTCTGTTTGAAATTTAAGCGTAACTTAAATTTAAATTCGGCCGATAATCGTCCGCGATTTGATTATACACGTCACTCAAATTCGAAACATCGTTGATGCAACCGAGCCACGAGAAGAATCACCCGTCGTTATGGTGATACGGATATTCTTGCTTCCATTCCAAAAGATCTATGTCAAGGAATGGTCTGTCGCAAAGGTGTGAGAATTTTCTGCGGGGGGAAGAGAGGGTACTCATTCTCTCTCTCTCTCTCTCTCTCTCTCTCTCTCTCTCTCTCTCTCTCTCTCTCTCTCT